AATACCAACCTGGCATCTGCACTCTTCACTACAATACAAACCTGGCATCTATACACTCCACTTCAGTATCAACCTGGCATCTACACCCTCCACCACACTAAGAACAAAAGAAAGAAGAAACACTGCAACAGGCCTACTGATCCATGCGAGGCAGGTCCAATTTTTCCACCGCTCAAGACAATTCCTTGACCTAGTCAGGTGAATCACGGCATCTAACCTAGTAGCACAAGCTAGTCAGCTCCAACTCAGACCCACCCACACCCACTTATCCAACCTATTTTTAAAACTGCAAAACGTCTTAGTTTCTATGATGGTACTCGGGGGTTTGTACCACACATCCACAACTTTATTACCAAACCAATGTTTTCCTATATCCTTCTTCAATATGAATTTTTCCAATTTAAAACATTGTTGCGAGTCCTGTCTGTGCTAGATATTTTTTAGCATGCTATTTATATCCCCTTCATTATTTTCCTTTTTTCCTTTTAATACCATGTCATGTCCCCCAAAGTCTACGCCATTTAGAGTGCAGATTCGGGGCCCCTCGCTCTGCCCTAAGAAAGATTTTGATACTGGGATCAACTTTGTCATCCTCCTTTGTACTTTTTCCCAGGGGCTTTTTATCCTTTCCCGTAATGGGGTGACCAAAACTGCGAGTAATCAAAATGAGCTTAAAAAAAGATATTTGAGTTGAAGAAGCCCGGGAAAAATCTATTTTTTATCTTCTTACTATAAACCCAAAAATTTTTTGTTGCTTTTTTGGGGAACATTAAGCCTGTTGTTTTGGTTTTCGATTACTGCTAAAGATTATAAACCCTTTTCAAAACCCGTATTTAAGATTACATTATTTAGTTTATAAATGTCATGGCTTTTTTCCCTGTAAAATATTCAGAACTTTTCATTTGTCTTTTTGAATAATCTGCCCTTTCCGACCATTGTAACATCTATTCAATTCACCGGGAAATGTTATTTCCCTCATTAAAAATGAACTGGAGGGCCCTATGTGGTGTCTCAGAAAATTTTGCTGATGTCGCTTTTTATTACTCACCTATTTCGTTTATGTAAATTGTAAACAACAAGGAAACCCCAACACTGAACTCGCAGAGCACTGCTTGAAACGTGCCCATTCTGATTTCTTCCATATATGAAAAACTCTCTGGCCTTTTTGTAACTAGGAAAAAATTTCCCCCCTTTTCCGTGTGCCTTAAGTTTCCTCAGTACCCTTGATGTGGAACTTATCGTAACCTTAAAAAAGTCCTATACACTTTTCATATTCTTACCATGGTTACCTCCTCAAACCCTTATTTAAAAAAAGTTAGAAAATTCGTGGGGACGGGAAAGCCCCTTTGTAAACCTGTTGAGATTCTAAATCAATTTTGCCTTTCAAGTGGTACAAATTGTTTTGGCAATTATTGATTCCATAATTTTCCCCCTATTTTGGGGTTTTTAATTTTCTTTTTTGTCTGAGGACCATGTCATGTTACCCCAATGTGATAGTTTATTTCGTCCTGTTCTACAAAATTTTATTATTTCTGGTTTTTTGTAGAATTTTTGGGTAAAAATAAAGGGGAAGTAAGTATTGAAAATTTCACCATACCCATATCGCTGTCAGTGAACAGACCGAGTTACTTTAAGTGGGCCTTTTTCCCCCAAATTTTATTTCGTAACCCTGAAAAAAACCCTTTTCTTTAGTTTTTGAACCCCTTGCAAATTTTTGCCTCTAACCCCTTTTGCTTTTCTTTTCCTTTTTTTAATTGTTTTTATACTGATTTCTTAACTCCCCTCCCCTTTTTTGAAAAGCCAAAAATTACCTCTTTTTTGTAATGGATGTTTTTAATTATTTTTCTCCATTTGGATCTTTTTTGTTAGATCTAATTTCCCTACTTGAACAAAAGTTGTTGGGCAGCTAGAACTATGCTCTAAAAAAAGTTTTATTGGAAACCCAAACACCACCTCCCTGACCCAAAGTAAAGTCACCCCAATTTAGCCCCCCCAGGTGTTTTTCTCGTCCATGAAATCGGCCAGGGAAAGTCGGGGACAGAGTGTAACGGGGAAGAGTGCCCTAGTGCGAACAGTGATGAGGCAATGGAGATGGCGGGAAACCCGATAAAGGGGAAGATGAATACAGTCCCCTCATAACCACCTACAGAACCCCCCAACCAGGAAAACCCCAATACCCAAAACCCCCCCCCCACACAATCCCTATGAAATGCCCCCCCCCACCTATTACAAACCCCCACCCCACAGCAACCACCAAAATTTGTTATCATTCCCCCACTTACCAAACCCCCAAAGTACCCCCGACCACGTTTTTGAAAAGAAGTTGAAGGAGTGGTATACAAATGCGACTGAAAAACAAATAAGTGGGGAGTGGGATGAAAGAATAAGGGGACATCCCAGACATAAAAGCAACATAACAATCAAATTGGGGCCTTAAAGGGGATAAATTTCAGTAATGTACAACCCCCCACAGAATGCAGGGGGCAAAGAGAAGAATCGATGAGGCAACAGAGAGTGGTCGACACACTAGCCGAGGTGGCCAGAAAGCTCACATGGTGGGGGCAAAGTTTTCTAGTTTAGGTGATTTTTACACAAGGTGGTTGATTGGAAAACGTGGAGCCCCATGGGGTCTCGAAACATGGGAGTCAAGTGATGTATTGGCACGGGGAAACCTCATGCTTCAAATTTAGAGACATACCAGGAGAGAGGTGAGGATGATAAGCAAAACTGGGTCTTGTATTCCCTTGAGTGTTCGGACTCGAGGATATTGTTTGGGTGCAAGTGGAGAGAGTAGCGAATAGGATGGGAAAAAAGTACAAAGGGGGGATACACAGGATGAGGAAATTCCGCAAGACGTTCAGTGGGAGAGAGAACTGACTGGGAAAAACCCGTAAAAGAAATGATGGACTTGTAACAAAAAAAATGAAAAAGGGGGCCGTGGAGGGTTTGTTCCCAAGGGGAAAAAGAAATAATGGGGAAGATCAGAAACGAGTCCTTGGTTCACCCAAAGGTAGGAGGAAAAACTAGGTGTATAGAGAATGGAAATGGTACAGAAACAAAGAACCCAGGAAAATAAAAACACAGTGAAGAGCCTAATGAATATTCCAGTGGAAAGGGGGGTCCCGACAATACGAAAAAGGACGGCATCGAAAGTCAAGTCTGACCCAGAGCTGTTGTATAACCACATCAGGAGGAAACAGCAGTGAAGGACCCGGTAAACAGACTGAGGAAGGATGATGGGGAGTTTCCAGAAACGACCAAGGGTATGGAGGAGCTCAAAATGGTTTTAAAAAGTATTGACAGTGGAAAAGGTAGCACTCCGGAAAACGAAAAAGAGGTACACCCAAAAAGTGATGGGTGAGGTACACATAACCCAGTGGGAGGTGAAGAAAATGCTTTGTGAACTTTTACCCCAAACGGTGGGGCCAGACATCCTCCCTGGGGTTTTAGGGGGAGGGGCAGAGATGCTATGTGTGCCCCTAAAAAGTCTTAACCAAACCATTTAAACTGGGCAATCCCGAGGGATGGAAGATGGCAAATGTAATCCCAATTTTTTAAAAAAAGGAGGCAGACATAAGGCATTAAACAACAGGCCTGTGTCACTAACGTGTATAGTATGCAGGAGGGGAGAGTGGTGGAGACCTGGGAAAGGAAAAAAAGCGTTTTTCGACAAACAGTCGGTTTCAGGGAAGGAAAATCCTGTGTCCCAAAACTACCGGAGCTTTATGGCAAGGTAACAGAAGACATGAGAGAGACTGGTGGATAGACTGCATTTTCTTGGATTGCAAGAAAGCCTTCGACACAGTTCCTCACAAGACGTTAATGCAAAAGTTAGAGGATCAGCCACACATAACAGGAAAGGCACTGCAATGAATAGAGAAACCCGAAGGGGGGGCAACAAGAGTCATGATACATGACGAGGTGTCAGAGTGGGCGCCTGTGACTGTTTTTCGTATATGTGAATGACATAATGAAAGGGATAGATTCAGAAGTGTCCTTGTTTGCAGATGATGTGATGTTAATGAGGAGAATCAAATCGGTCGAGGATCAGTCAGGACTACAAAGAGACCTAGACAGGCTACAAGCCTGTCCAGCAATTTGGTCCATGAATTTAAACCCCGCCCAAAGCAAAGTCATGAAGATCGGGGAACGGCAAAGAAGACCGCAGACACAGTATAATCTAGGTGGTCAAAGACTGCAATCCTCACTCAAGGAAAAAAATCTTGGGGTGAGTATAATACCGAGTACATCTCCTGAGGCGCACATCAATCAGATAGCTGCTGCAGCGTACGGGCGTCTGGCAAACCTAAGGATAGCGTTCCGATGCTTCAGTAAGGACTCGTTCAAGACTCTGTACACCATTTACAGCTTGCCCATACTGGAGTATGCAGCACCACTTTGGAATTCACACCTGGTCAAGCACGTCAAGAAATTAGAGAAAGTGCAAAGGTTTACAACAAGAGTAGTCCCATAGCTAAAGAGATTGTTCTACGAAGAAAGGTTAAGGGAAAATGGCATGACGACACTGGAGGACAAGAGGTCAGGGAAGACATGATAACGACATATAAAATACTGCTCAGGATAGACTAGGTGGACAAAGACAGGATGTTCCAGAGATGGGACACAGAAACAAGGGGTCACAATTGGAAGTTGAAGACTCAGATGAGTCAAAGGGATGTAAGGAAGTATTTTTTTCAGTCATAGAGTTGTCAGGCAGTGGAATAGCCTAGAAAGTGACGTAGTGGAGGCGGGAATCATACATATTTTCTAGACGAGGTTTGATAAAGCTCATGGAGCAGAGAGAGAACCTAGTAATTATTGAAGGGGCTGGGCCAGGAGCTATGACTCGACCCCTGCAACCACAAATAGGTGAGTATAAATAGGTGAGTACACACACAAACACACGCTCGCGCGCGCGCACTCGTCAATGTATCACAAGATTTTATTTTTAATTTGGTAGTGTTATTCAGATCTAGTTATATAAAATATTATTAACGTACCGAAAAGTGCTGACTCTGAGGTGTTGAACTGGAGATCGTCCGAGGATTGATCCATCAGCTGTGGCAACGTTACTCCAGCAAAGCCAACTACAGCACCAAACTCCAGTTGTGTGAGCGCCACCACTATCGTAGCCATGAACTGTCAATGAGCAAACAACTATAATGACCCGGTATAGTACAGTGTTACAGCACCACTGTTACATGTACAGTGTTACAACACCACTGTTACATGTACAGTGTTACAACACCACTGTTACATGTACTGTGTTATAACACCACTTATAACGATGTTTATTTGGTAGGCTGTAAGCGGGTTGTGAATGATACGTCTTCTTCGGAGGCTTCTTTGTTTATTGATAACTAGTGTTGGGTTACACAGGCTTGTGTGTTTGTGCCCATGGCCCGGGCAGGGCCATGGGTGTTGATGCCAGGCCGCTGTGTGAGTGAGAGCGAGGCAAGTCTGGGCATACTGAAGTGGCAAGGCCTAGGTGGCAGCACCAGCATAGCGCGAAATATGAACTAAGCTGGCAGACAGCATGGGCTGTCTGTGCAGACAGTACAGGCTGTCTACATACGCTCGGCCACCTACCGCGCGTCGTCCCGACGCGACAATACTGGTAGTAAAAGAAACTCGGTCTCTCTCTCGTAGGAACAGGGCACAGAAACAAAAATAAAAACATATATATACATATGGACATGGAAAAAAAAAACTTCCTACAGGGAGGGAAGAAAAAAACATGTGGGGTGTGCTAAACATCGTGGTCAAAGGCAGTGAGCATTGAAGTGTATCACTGCACGCCTTCCTGCGTCTGGACAGATACTGCAACATGGGAGACATCGCTGCGGCTGAGCTGTGACGTAACAGGGTACGGTCTCCTCTGGAACGGTGAAGCAGACATCGTAGGAGTCGCTGCAGGTTTTCACTCAACCTGGGGCACGACATGCTGGTGCCCTCGAGTGAGGCGTCGACAAAACTCGGCAACTGGGCAGGACTTCTGGCAAGCGACTCAGGAGGACACTTCTCGACTGGTACTGTCGCTGGGCTGTCACTGCTGGCGAGCGTGGAGCGAGTTGTGGAGCGAGTCGTGGCAGAGACGACTTGGCGAAACATCTGGGAGTCGTAATATCATACACCAGACTGCAGTGAGAGAGCTAGCAGTCAAAGTGACGACATCTTTGTGCAGGCTGCTCACTGAAGCTTGTGACACGAGGCTGACAGCGCCTGCCGACAGGCCTGGCTGCGGCTTGACGAGTATCATCTCTCGACAGTTGGAGTTATAGCAGAGGTTAGTCTAAGCATCCCCAGACTTGTTTCTCTACATATAACTGCACTCTGACGGTCTGGAGGTGAAGTGAAACAAATCTCGATGGGAATCGTAGCAGGTACGATTCTGCAGAACAACACGAGCGACGAGCATAAAAGCTTTCTGTACAAGGGGGCTCGTACGCTCAGGGCTGAGAAATCAGCTGTCAAACACTGGTCACGCGGGTGACTTAGCACAGTGGTGGAACTCAAGGGTCTGACCACAGACCTCACTGGACACACGGAAAACTTACAAACACACCGCTGTACATACGGTACAACATGGCTTAACTAGAAAATGATGGTTTTCTGCGCATAAAACTGACTAAGACATACTAAAATGTGAGAACACTGACTGAGAGGAATTAATTAACACACGACATATATCTTCTCTCAATCTTCTCGACAATACTGAAATAATTACTAGAACACTTTATGTGACATCATGTGATGTCAGGCGTGATGTCGCAAGGTGACGTCAGCAGCAGTGATGTCAACAGACATGTCGAGGTGACGTCAGGCAGACATCGTGAGGTGACGTCAGCAGACATCGTGACGTCATGAAGTCGGGCAGCATCGTGGGTGGCATCGATGTGATGCGGGCAGCAGACCACAGCATGAGGCCTGGGACATCTGGTAACTCACGTGGCTTTGTAGGTCTACGTGACATCGCCCACACCCACGTGACGTCGTGATCCACGTAGCTTCGAGTGGCCTCGAGCACTCGGATACACAGCACTGGCAATGAATTCATACGAAAAACAGCAGAAAACACAGCAGAGGGAGTGGGCAGTGGTGAGTGGTGTATGGTAGTGTGGTGGCGAGGAGCGTGCGTGAGTGTATGGCAGGGCGGGCATCTGGCCATTCCTCCTCCTCCTCCTCCACCCACAAACACGTGGAGAAGCTCACACTGGACGCAGAAATCACCACAAAACTCACCTCTGCCTTTCTGAAACAGCTGTGCTGAGCTGAACAACAACAGCAACATACAAGTGACGCTGAACACGTGACTTGAGAAACAGCGTAGGGTCACTGGGACACCATTACAATTCTCGGAGAATTTCGGCAAATTTCGGCTGGATCCTGCTTGTACCTGTGTCTGGATGCTCAAACGTGCAGACACGACATCAGGATAACTCGTTGAGAGACGGATGCTTCTTGTGTAGGGTGATGAAGTGAAGATGACTTCATACCTCTTCCTCCCTCTCTCCAGGCAAACACAACTGCTGCAAGCACCGCTGTCACCATTTTAAACTGGCTTGTTTGGGTATTCTGGTAGTGGGGTGTGAATGATACGTCTTCTTCGGAGGCTTCTTTGTTTATTGATAACTAGTGTTGGGTTACACAGGCTTGTGTGTTTGTGCCCATGGCCCGGGCAGGGCCATGCCCACGAGAGAGAGCTGGGAGGCCTTGTGTGTTGATGCCAGGCCGCTGTGTGAGTGAGAGCGAGGCAAGTCTGAGCATACTGAAGTGGCAAGGCCTAGGTGGCAGCACCAGCATAGCGCGAAATATGAACTAAGCTGGCAGACAGCATGGGCTGTCTGTGCAGACAGTACAGGCTGTCTACACACTGATACATGTACAGTGTTACAACACCACTGTTACATGTACAGTGTTACAGCACCACTGTTACATGTACAGTGTTACAACACCACTGTTACATGTACAGTGTTACAGCACCACTGTTACATGTACAGTGTTACAACACCACTGTTACATGTACAGTGTTACAACACCACTGTTACATGTGCAGTGTTACAACACCACTGTTACATGTACAGTGTTACAGCACCACTGTTACATGTACAGTGTTACAACATCATTCTGTTACTTTTGTGGAAAATTGTATTTATCTGAATGTAACTCATTATGTACATAACAGTAAATGATAACAAAGATAATTATTATTTATCAGTTACATACACAAGTAGGAATTTGGGACACCTAGGTCTCAAAAATGTCCCCCTTGGATACCTACGACTGTCTTATCTACAAGTTGCTCTAGACCTATTAATTACAAATGAAAGATGCATCACCAGGATTTCTGGTAAATAAAAATTGGTGGACTGTATATTAAATTAATAAAGGATTATATATATATACACATATACTTAACTGAAGGAGAATATCTTAAAATCACTCACCAATTTGACTTGAGATTAAGGTGTATCATACTCAGAAAACCTCACTGTCTATACATGAAAATAACACTGGCCAGAGTTAAACATTAACAGACTTATCTGAGGTTCCTGGAGCTGTCTTGTCCAGTCGCCTGATATCTCAAGTTATGCAGGAATGCACATCCAACAATTTTGGCTCCTATTTGAGAGGTGTCAGCCCAATTTTTCCTCTAGAGCACGAAAATTCTTCCCAATATTCACTAACGTTTGTGTTAACTCAAACAACAATGGCGAGTCTCTCTCTGCAGGCGCAGGCTTCCCATTTTTTATGACATAAATTTTTATTAAATACAGTATGTTACACTAATTTACATAAAAAATACACTGTATTTTTTCTGGAAAATACATTATTTTCCACGCTGCGGCCGGCCGGAGTTCGTTGCTAAACTACTCAAATTACTCCTTCCTTTAGGAGATGATTCCAGCTGGTTCAGTCTTGAGTGGCTGTTATCCTAGTAGGTCTTCAGAAGGGTGACACCACATTTCTTTACCATACCCTTTACAAAGGAGGCATAATAGTCACTACCTATCAAAATATTTATTGGGCCTACAGAATCATCACTTACACCAGAAAGTGCCAAATTTACATTATATGAAAGTTTTTCTGTAGGTTTACTAAGTCCTACTGTAGATATTTTCTCTGGAAGTCTATCTACAATTACTGCATTAACACGTTTTTTCTCATTGCCCTACCCGACAGTTACATAAACAGTGTCATACAATTGAGCCCTTTTATCCGAGAGAAAACCAGATAATTTTAAAGTTGTGGGATCTCCCATCTGTACTTTCATACCATCAAGACATTTACATGTTATGAAAGTGTGCTGGGATCCCTGGTCCAATAATGCATTTACATTTTTTGATTTATGCCTTATATCATCAATTTTTACCTGTAACACAGGTAAGGCTACTTCAGCAAAACCATCATTATTAACATTAGCAGCATGTGAAGGCTTACTCAGCCCTGTAACAACTTCAGACAGTATTACCAAGGCTGGCTCCTCCTCAGGAAAATTAATGAGTAGAAAAAGAACAAAAACTGACAAACATAAACACTTTATTATTTAGAAAATATAAAATATAAAACACTTAAATATGAAATATTGATCCTACCTTAAAGAAAATGAAAAATGAAAAATATAAATGATATCTGAATTCAACGCTAATATATATATATATATATATATATATATATATATATATATATATATATATATATATATATATATATATAAAACTTGGGTGTCTGGTGTTGGTGACACTGCATGTTGTTGAAATCGTAGCCGTTGCCGATGATGGGGGGTGTCGCAGGTGTTGGTGACAACCCACCGGCTCATTCTTCACAGATTTTCTAGCTTTCAATAATCCGTCCAGATGACAGGAAAGCAGGTTTTTTCCACTGCAATGATGAGGGGTTATATCCTGCTACTTGCATACACAAACAGGTAAGTGGATCAAAAATGGGATGTCTCAGAACGATAGTCCGTCTCCTTCAATTCTACTCGTTGATTGGCAGGTGACCCTCTCTGCCATTTCAAGAGTAGTGTTGGGAGCTGCAAGTCGAGTGATTTACTGTTTTACCGGAGCCCCCCATGTCACCTTTCAGAGGGGGGTGGGGAAGAAGAAGGGGAATAGCGGGAACTGGACTTACCCTAC